TAAGCAATTCGTAATCAAATAGTCTCGACAGACAACCAAAAGGGTAACTTATCTGCTTATGGGCGAACGCACCCTTCAAAAATATATATATAACATATACAAAATATAGATTGTATTCACGCATTGATACACTTCCCTGATACGTGAGGGGGCTGATCTTGTCTTATCAACCGCCTGACCCTAATTTGTAAGGGTTATCAACACTCAATAATATTAAGACACCGTTTTTCAGCTGTCAAATCCAAAACTCTTGTGATTGATTGATCGTGCGGATTAATCAATGTTTATAAATGTTGCGTGCATAAAGATCTATTTTTAAGGGATCTTAATGGATGGAAATTGTCAACGCTGAAAAGTAACAACGGGTAGCAAGTGTCGATAAAACCAAATTATCACCTGAGGCAGTAGTTTTTTTATCCCTGTTTTCTATGTCTTTCCTGTTCCTCTATCTTAACGTCCCCCAGACTGCTTTTGTCTTCCATGTTTTCCCAGTYCGATCAGTTTTCCGTCTCCCCATTTCTCCTTCTTTTCTGTTCTTTCTGTATTTCAGTGTTTTATTCTTGCCGTTCCTTGTACAGTAAAAACCCGCGTATAAGAACCTAACATTTAAAAACCTGTTAGACTAAAATTTCATTTTTAAGCACCATTCACATATGAACCATTTTAGGCTAAAATTCTAAAACAGGTTCTTGTTTTGAAAAAAAGAAAACATCTCAAAATATAGAAAAAAAATATTCTCAAAAATATATTATAAAACAGTCTGTACATACTGATTATAGTAGTTACAGCATTTGATAACAATAATGTAGTATTTTGCTTACCGAAGCCTCCAAGAATACTGTTATCAGACGTAAATGACCATATCATTTAAAAATTCTTGCTTTTTTTCTTGAACAAAAGTTAAGAACCTAATTAAGAACCTAGTATAATTTTACACTTAGTACCATTTATATAAGAACCTGTTTAGACTAACTTGAAAAAACCTAGGTTCTTATACGCGGGTTTTTACTGTATTCTCGTCTTTATTGACCTCCCCGAATGTGTCCGCCCCGAATGTATTCTTTTCGTTTGTGATTTACTCTTGTCATGTAAACTCGTCTACAATCGACACTGTCGTTCCTTCTTCGATGCCCTGCCTTGCTTGCGTGTACTATATTCCCGTCTGCCTTGCCCTGCCTTTTTTCTGTGCATTGTCGTCTATTCTGTCTTCTCATTTCCCTCGTCTATCCTGTATTCCTGTCTCAAGGGCGGATCCAGTTGAAATTTTAAGGAGGAGTGATTGGTTTTAAGGGGGCTAAATGGGCTATATTTGTTATTTTATATTTGCTACTTTACCTTTTATCCTCAAAGGAGCTACAGCTCCACTTTGCCCCTCCCTAAATCTGCTCTTGTGTCTTCCCTGTACACGTATGTACCCCCCTCCCCCCCCCCTCATCTTAGTACTCGTATCGCACACAAAAATTATTGGTATAAACACAAATATTTAGGCACTTGTTGAAATATTCTAATTCTGCTTTGAGCAAATACAAATAAAGTAAAATATTTCCTGGCTCGTGTTTAACACATCCTAGGTTTAAATTAAAAAATTGTCACGTTATGTCACGCCAAACGTTTCGTCTTTTCATTCCATGTCACAATAAATTAAATTTACCAGTTGCTATAAATGGACCTAACTGAAAAAAACGTTTTAGAAGAAAAAGGATTTGAGAACTGACTTCAACTTAACTGGTTATCTTTTGTTCCTTTGTTTATAAATCGCGGCTAGATCTCAGGACAACGTTTTCGCACTTAGGTATTTAACAGATACGCGAATTGTCATACAATTGATCGGTATCTTGCTTCGCAACTTCTTGTCGAGCTTCTAATCTGCCAACTCCAAAAATAACATCCTCTATTGAAAATTCTTGTCCCCAGCCTCTCTCAGACACACAGAAACGTCCTGCCACAGGGACCCCGCTAACTTCCTCAGCATGGGGACATCTTCACTGTAGGTTAGCAGATATAGACACAATGATACTCTTTGTATACACCAGCAACCTCAGCACAAACACCAGTGACTACTTAGTCTTTTTACTTTTCTTTGTTTTCAATGCCCTGAGTTTTTTTAGATTTTCTTGGGTCATTTCGTCGCCTGGTTTTAGCTTTAAKGCCATTAGGTAACTCTTCTCGCCCTGCTCGTAGTCTCCGAGGACATGATGAATAGCGCCCAGGTTCATGTGCGCAATGGGGTTCTAGATGAAAATAAATAGCTTTATGACAATGACTAAAAGGGAACAACAACACGCACCGCAGTCTCCTCTCGGAGCCGTGAYACACGWCACCGCTGTTGAGGCTTAAATTATCAGAGATATGGAAAATCGTCCAGGTCGAGTGGATTTTGTCAAATGCATTATATATTTTATATCCGTTACATTAAAACAAATAACAGGCATGTACAAACAAATGGCACTGTAGAGCAATCGCAGGAAAACCATGAAATAAAATCAAACTAAATACTAACTAAAAGCGACTATTTAGAGACAATTTGTCAGTATCAATGAACCCGAACACAATGAAGATGAATCCACATGGGACCATTTTCCATTCATCTTTATTGCGTTCTGGTTCATTGATACTGACGACATTTTGTCTCTAAATAGCCGCTAATTGTTAGTATTTAGTTTGATTTTATTTCATGGTTTTCCTGCGTTTGCTCTAATCGTATATCACGAATAAGCTCACAAGTTGTTTTTTTTTTATTTTATTTTTTTCGCAAATCCTCAGTAGGATCTTTACCTGTGGATCGATCCTCGCAGCTTTTGTGAAATATTCTCTCGACTTTTCTTTTTTTCCAGCCTCCCTAAAAATAGAAATTGATAAATGAGCTGTAGTTTCAGCATGCTTAAAGTGCACTTGACACCTTTTAGAAAACAACTTTATAGATCGGTCAGAGAACACGAATTGATTCCGCGGGAAAATAGCACAATATAGTAACCAGATCTGAATTCAACATAAGCAACTGGGTCATCCGCCAGTAAACCCTTTTAGCGATCTCTTTACGCTGTGTTAAATCTCACGAGTTTTATCTACATTTCTGAATATTTTAGCACATAATTGAGGCTAGCACAGCGTAAAAGAGATCGCGAAACTCAATTATTACAGCGCGAGCCCTTTTATCTCAAGCATTCAAATTATCTAAGAATTGAAAAGATTAAAGATGGAAAGGTTACGCCACTCGAGCTCTTGTATCTTACAAACGTACAGAAAAAAATATGTATTTGTTAATTAACGCTAAATACGTTTGTACAATAATAG